AAAAAAAAAAAAATACGGGTCTCTTTTTTTTGCATCTTTTACAATTCTGGGGGGCGGCCGCGTAAATTTTTTTTGGGCCACTCTAATATATATATATATATAAATAATATATATATATATGTATATTTGTTGTAAATTCTGTAATAAATCGTGTTTGTTTATTTTTTTTACATTATTTTATTTTACTTCGTTTTTTATCACCGATCCAACGCGAATCCTCCTCCTGCCGACATGCATATACGACGAGCTAGTCGAATATCAAGCACGACAACTAAGATTACCATAAGCTTGGGTAAGTTACTTTTTTTTTTAACTATAAGTTAAGGGCTACCGTTCGGTTATTACGGATCACAGATTGCAATATGATCATGACTTTCAATGGGAAGATGTTAAAATTTTAGATGAAGAACCTAATTATAGAAAGCGAATAATTTCTAAGATGCTAAACATTAAAAAGCAGAAAAATAGTCTTAATTTACATACGGACACTGAAGGTCTTCACGATTCATATATATTATTTATTGTACCAATATTTATTATTTTTTACTTATTATTTCTTTTTGCATAATATATTGTATAATATATTGCTGCGTCTAAATAAAATTTTTAAATAAGATATCTTAATTTATTCTAACAATAGTATTAGGATTGCCATTCATTATCCGATATAACAAGTTTTATTTATGAGGAACAGATTACAAAGATCGTAATTCTGCACGTACGGAATTGCAGATGGAAACGAAGAAAACTTATAATTGCAAGTGGAGCAAGGACGAATAGGGGTGGCGACTATCTATCTGGGCGGCGGAGTCTGTGGTGTTTTAGGAGCGTCGCTTCTGCAACCAAGTCTTTATCTGGTTGGCGCTTCGACAGGTATTTACGCGCTGCTCACGAGTCATCTTGCTAATCTCTACCTGGTAAGTGAGAGGAAGTTTCTCAATTTCTAAGAAATGGAGCTTATACGACGTAAACTGACCCTTTAACCGATCCCTTACTCCATGAAAGTCCGCGCAATGTTGCATGTCAGCATCAAAAAGGACCAAAGAAAAGAAAGAAAGAAAGACTACAAAAGATGCTATACTAAAATGCGTTGTCGAGTCGTGCGGGAATGTTTCTGCTTGAAATACTCGTGCGAAAGAATCTTATTTAGTGAGTCGTTTTTTATGGGAAGTGCCAGTAATAAAAACTCCTCGAGAAACAAACATATATCTATTTATCGTATTATTTTTTAAAAATCATGTTAACTACTTGAAAGGTATATTAGGTTTAGCTCGATTTTGTATTGATTCAATAAACTTCAGGAATAATTTAAATTTACAGTTTACTTCTAAAAATATGGATTTAACAGAGTATGCAGTGTTTATATAATTCTATATCATTGCTATGGCAAAAGATTAATTTCGGAGATGTTGAATATTAAGAGACAAAATAATAGCCTTAATCTCTAAATAGATACAGAAGGCCTCCAAAAGGATATATACCGATTATGAACAATATGTGACTTTGCGGTATCAAGAACATTAATATTCTAATATTCTGCAATCGTTGTCGGTTGGTCGAATCGTGTAGTTCTTAATATTTGACTTCGTTTAGTTCTTATTATTTTTTTAACTTCTTAAATTTGTGACTAATTTTTTGATCATCATCGACGACTCGATTAGACTTATAACTCACTTCATCAACTCACATCCTCCGACTGATTATTATTTTACTCTAATGTGTACTTCAACATCATAAAAAAATTGCTGTCTGGGTGAGCTTTTATTGAGGAAACGAATTTACTTACTACATTTAAATTCCTTATACCACGTTTTATCACACCAAATTATCGATTCTGCCAACATTTGATTTACCAATCTTCTGTCAATGAATTGTCCTCTCGGTCACTCATCTGACATCGCAGCACAAGAATACATTTATAATTGTATATCGTCACTACGATACAATGAATATCTTTTACATCTGAAGAAGATTCAAACCAGGAGTCGAAACATGTTATATCTGAATTTGTTTTAATTATATTTCTAATTATTTTTTATATGTAAAAATTTCTTAATTCTATATTTATCGATGACTCTCGAAATTGCCTTTTATGATACTTTATCCTTATTATTATTTTGACATCGAGAGCTTTGTTTATTATTATTTATTTTTTATATAATTTTCGTGTTTATATAAACACCAATATGATATGGATTTAAAATTTATAGATTTTAAATCGACAATGTGGCACAGAGTTTGAAATCCATAGTATTGAATTTACATGTTAGTGTTTATATATCAGCATCAATATAGTAACAATTATATAAGCTCCGCATGATATTAAATCCACACATATTTTTTAGAGTATAAGTTGCTCTGTGATTTAACGGCGTAATTGAATCTTATATTTATTTCCATCTTGATTCTTCGTGGAGGAAAAAAACGATTGCGATAATATCTCTGTGCATCGTTTTGTTTCTCGTTCGTTGCAGTGTCACGGCGAACTGCGCTACGCCGGCTGGCGACTCGGAGCCGTTTTGCTGCTGGCCGGTGCGGATATCGCATCGCTGCCCATTCCTGCGTTGCTTGGATGCGGCCGGGTCGGTTGGGCGGCACATGTCGCGGGCGCGCTAGCGGGTCCACTTCTAGCCGTGTTCCCTAATCAGAGCAAGAAAGACGCCCGGGGCCGTAGATTTGTGCGATACGTGCGGCTGCTGTCGGCCGTGAGCGTGATGCTGCTGATCGTTGGTGCCATTCTCGGTAATGTCTACTTGATCGCCCTACACGGAAAAAAATGACTTGGCAATAACAGCTAAATTTCATTAGCTGAATCAAACTTAGCTGTAAGAGCTACTGTCTTAGTGCCATTGCTAAGCTTTGGCTGTTACAGATAAAAATCATTTACTGTGGCGTGAAACTTTATTAGCTGAAATTAATAACATTAGTACAGGCAGCTAAAAAGATTGCAGCAAAGGATAAAGTAGCATTCAGTTAAACATATGTCATATGTCATATGTCTCTAGCAGCAAAATTTTTTGCTACAGTACGTAAGTGCAAGTAGCCAATAAATTTAGCTTGAGTAGCAACAGCATTAGCTGTACCTATTTTAAAGACACGTTTTAACTATCGCAGCTATATATTAGCTCCTATTGCTAATCCTTTTTTTCCGTGTACCACAGCTCAGGAAGCCATCCTGACAAAGGATCGAGATGTTCGTCAAGCTCTGCAGACAGTCCTTCCTGATTGTGAAGATCCGGGAGGCCGCCGAGAGCGTGTACGAGTAGGCCCATGCAAACTCGCGGGATCCGTGCGATCGATCGCGTAACTGCCAATGGACTTTCCCCACTTCTCATCCCTCAGATCTCACGTGAAACTCGTGCAATCCAGTCGTTTATTAGACAAAAAGCATTGCACCGAAACGATATACGATCAAAACTTTAGGCAATTGTGCAAAAGAATTTCACGTTTCACTGCAGAGGAAAATTATGTGATCAGCACACTGAGCCACTTGTGAAGGAACTCGAGTGAGCTTTACGCTCAGTGAATTAGTATGAAGAAACGCCAAACACCGATGGTTCACTGAACTTGCCACTTGCTGCCATTAGAATCCTCTGGGATCTCGAGAACTCATTGCACAGAGTATGCAGTATAAAATCATAGAAGGAAGGTGACTCTTCGTCTGATACTTCGATAAATTTGATATTATACGAATATTGGTGAACGTCATGACTTTTTCTACGGACAGGTAAGACGTTTAAAACTGCCGATTACAACCCTGCCGATAGGATTAGGTCGTATATTTAGTAACACGATTCTCAATGATTTCCCGTTATATCAGTCTCGGTATATAAGCGAACAAGATGAACTATGAAAGTGTGAAAAAAATGAGAAAATTTTCTCCTATAACAATGTATGAGGCTGAAGCGAATATACATTGACAGTGCATGTAAGTTTATCCTGCAACGGCAAACGATTATTGTAGATTGTGAAAAGTAATTTATTTAAATAAATACAAGAAGCGCTATTATTATGATTCGCGTAAAAACCACGATCTCGAGTTAAAGCTAATACGTCGCAATGTTGAGGAGACAATGGGATATCTTCATTCTTTCTATTATTCATATTTAGCGTGTACGAGATGTATAAGCAGATGTATAAAATAAAGCGATCATATTACTTACATAAACGTGTTATGATATAACAAAAATTTTATTAATGGCAAATTAAATGTATTAATCGTTAATAAAGCAAATTTTTAACGACGTGCAACTGATCTCGAGCTGCGAAACTATAAACTCTTCGTACAAACTAATTCGCTGTTGTAGAAGTAACATTGTAATCCCGAATTATCTTTTGACGTTATCAACTAATTGTAGAACGAGAGAAGATAACGGAATTAGGAGACTAAATTGAATTCCTTCGCGTTAAGTCTGAGTCCTGCCATGTTTTCCGATAAGTGTGCGAAAAAAGAAAGAGATCTTTTATAGCATAATCATAACGCAAAGATAATCGCATTTCTATATATTTACAAAGCTGTAAGACTTGCGAAATATTTATAGCGTAGTGTAGCATCTTTAATCACGATGTGCAGTGTTTGTTAAGAGAGTTCGTGTGCGTACAG